GGATGAGAATGAGAAAAAAGGTGGGAATTCTTGGAAGACTTTAAATGGTGTTGTTCAAAACAGCCAACTAAGTTAAGATTCTCCCAACACATGTGGGTTGACTTTTTCTTATGAACAACAACAGCCTAACTTTGGTCAGCTCATTTGCTTTTCCCATGCACCATCAAAATCTTCCCAATTTTAGTTTGGTTTCATAAAGTTAGAATTCCACCATTCTCTGTTTTTTCTTTTAAAAAAGAAAAGAATCAAACGAAAAAGAGATTTACATGTTGATGCCCATGTTGTATCGTAAATCTAATACACTAATTTGAGTTAGTTTAATTGAATAAGACACTAAGAACCGGCTTCATACATTTGCAATGTTGTATTCTCGAAAAAAAAAGATGCAATAAGTCATGTGACAAAAACTTTGAACTTTTTTGGCACAACCACGCCAGATGTAGGTATAAAACAAGAAAATAGTTAGGTACTTGATAAAAGTATGGTGTTTAGTACGTATACAATATTATTGTAGTTTATTGTTCTTTTTACCTTTAACAACTAGAATAGGGAAACACTTAAAACTCATAAGACGGAGCGAATAAGAAGAGGGACTTGCTATTGTCATAATTGAAAAAGTAGATATAAAATATTGAAGATTTTTTAATTTTTACTCTAGTTTGGCTTCTCTTAAATTTTATGAATTGAAAAATTATATGTATATAAAAAAATGAAATGTAAAATATTGTCTATTGCTAAGAAAATTTATGGCTCATATGATTTATTTTGACATCATACATACACACACACACACACATATGTATGTATGTATGATTTCCTTCATTTTCTCATCATGTATATAGTTAAAACAAATTAACCTTTTGATTGACAGCGACTGTTAACTCCTTGCTCTAACCAAAGTAAATCTGTGTTGGTAAAAAGTAAAAAGAAGGTAGTTGAAGTTAATGCATGTGGCATCACAGAATTCTAAGAAAAAAGGACATTTCAACGAGACCACATTAAATAAATTAACCTTCAATCTTACTCAAAAGTTAAAAGAAAAGAGTAAATTTAATGAGTGAGATAAAAAAGATAGTTAGGGACAAAATTAAGAGCAAATGATGTGAGATTAGACAGAATAAATTAAGAAAAATAATGAGACAAAAGACAGCAATAATTACAACGTGGTAGAACTGCAATCTCAAGTCAACCAGACAACACTATATCTACCCACAACTACCTAACCAGTGAAACTGTAAAAACAATTTTTTTAAGAAAAGAAAAGTGAAAATAATTCAAATTATTAATTAATTTGCGTACAATAAATTAATAAAATTTTCAACCACAATACATCAGATTGGCGTCAGAATTTGAAGGACTGGGTCTTCATTGCAAAAACGGCGTCGCAGACCTACACTCTGACCCTAATTATTTAATTTCTTTCCCAATAATTTTCCTCTCTTAAATTATTGATATTTAAAGTTACAAACTTTTTTCATCTGGGAGCAGCTCTGGCCTTCTTCTTTTTCTAATAATTTTATCTGAGAAAGGAGAGTTCAACATTCAAAGAGATTTAATTTGGTCCAGAGACCGTGAAATTATAATTATTTTGATCCTTCGTTATTAATCTATTGTGTTTTGTGTTAACATATTAATGTGAGTATTTAAAAATTATATTAGATAAAGTTAAAAATTAATCATTTCTAAAAAAGAATTAATGGTAGGCCAGTTATTATCAAAATATAGTTAACCTAAAAATTGGTCAGATATACTTAAATCAAAACAAAACAACGAGAATGAAAAAATTGAGAATTATATATTAGGCTAAAAAGTAAATATATTAAAGATAATGTTTTTAGAGAGAAATGTAGGTACGAAAAATTTTAGAACGAGAAATATGTCCAAATAAACTAAAAGTTGAACATTACAAAACGTATGGAAATTTGAAATATTTTTTTTATTGAAATTTATTTCAAGTTCCAAAAATATTTTTGAAAAAAAAGCAGCAGAAAAACGTCTTAAAAGGTGAATAACTTTAAAATTTATCTAATTGATTCCTAAATTTTCAAATAGGTTAATGACATATTAAATTAATTGATCGATTTAATGAAAAATTAAACTTTGTAGAATATTGAAATTGCTTATTAAGTCAATACTACTATTTTAAAAAATATGACACTATTAGATTAAAAATAAAAATTTATGAACATATAATGCATTAAAACAATAATTTAAAGACATGTTACACACTTTCTCAAATTAACAAAATAGTGGGACACGAAATTAAATAAAAAAAAACTAAAAAATGAAAATAGTTCAAGCTTTGAATTGGATTTCCTATGCCACTTGACTTTACCTGTTGTACCGAAAAAAAAAAATTACCAACCTCTGCTCATATATTAGTTAAGCCAGGTAAGTTGGGTAAAAAATTGATGAATTTGTATCCGGGGCAGTAAAAAAAAAGAAAAGAAATAATTTAGAAAGAAAAATGGGTCACGTGAGGTGGGCATGCACCGTAACTTGTGCCTAGAGAGAGAGAGAAAATCAGAGCTAGGCCTAGTGTTACGTGGTCTACTTCTGTTCTGAGAATTTCTGCGTGAATTAAATTAAAAGAATAATAATTTGAAAATAATTCGGAGGAGAGAGAAATAGGCCTGCTAAAGTGACAGGTATGTATGGTATGGTTGTACTGTTAGCATTGGTAGGAGGGAGAAATCACTGTTACTGATTACCACGTCTTGGTTTCTCATTGGTCATTTATGGACCTACCCCCACGTACCTCCGTCACCCTAGACGCTTCCTCCATTGCCCCTCCCCTGTCTGACACACGGCATTTTTACCATTCTGACCCTCCTCTGAATTTTCTGCGGTTGGACATAAATTGAGATTATTGTCCATTCGCTGGGACTAATCTGACTATTTCTCAAATAATAATTTCACATTATTGGCAAATTGGATCATGGGTTCCTTCGCTTGTTTATGGCCGTTGATGCTTTTCTGGCCGTTTGGTTTTTTTAAAAATTAAAACTGTGGAAAGTACTCTCTAGTTAATTTCTGACCTTTTTTAGGGGGAAAAAAAAATCATTTTTACCTTGTGCTTAAGTTAATCACTTTAACTTCATAATTTTAATTTCACTACAAAATTGCCCGTGAAGGCATGAACCGACTAATAAATCGTACAAAGAACTTAATAAAACGCAACATTTTAGCATCAAAATACCTAAGTCTAGGAGATTGTAAATATCGAATATAATTAGAAGACTAAGACTAGTACCTAAAAAACTAGTCATATTCAATTATAAGAATGCTCCTAGCTAGTTTTATTATTTTCTTTACTTAGGAATTAATTACACGGCTATTTCAAGTAAAGAGAAGAAAAATAATTTTGTTGAACTAAATAATTGTAACTAGTTAAGAATCTTAAAAAAAAAAAAAAAATCCAGAAGAAAAACTTAACTTATCGAAGATATTAATTACGCTACTTATTCAAGAATAGAGTTTAAACTAAACCACTTAATCAAACGTAAGGTTTGAAGGGATAAAATTGAACTTTTCTCGATTGTTATATTATTTAATTATATGGTTAAAAAGTGACTACAAAATTTCTAAAAATACATTAAATTACTTTTAGAAAAATATTTAACCACGATAGGTATACAGTGATGTTTTTTTTTAATTAAAAAAGGAAAAAAATCTCATGATGTATGCGGGGTTGCATAGTTAAATGTGATTAATAAAAATTGTAATAACGCTTTAAACTGTCCATAAAAAATGTTTTACTTAAACAATAGTTTTAGATATCATTATTCCATATTATGAGTTGACCTAATAATCATTAGGCAAGTGAGATAATTAAGGAACTTTGAAAACATGTTCAAACTCAAGTTTATGAAAAAACAAACTTAAACTCATTCTGAGAACTCCTTCCCAGAGGGGTGGTAAAAAAGTAAAAGTTATTTCATCCTCCCACTGTCAAGATTTTGACAATAAGAAAATAATTTTTCGACGGAGATTTAATAAATATAACATAAAAACTTTAGATATTTAATTTTCAAATTAAATTAAATATAAAACTTTTTCAATCTCAAAATATATATAGCTTAACTAATTCAACTAAAACTTGTTTGTTTATCATAAAACTGGGATCATGAAAGGTCTGGTTGGGCTGGACTTTACAATCTCGTGAGATAGAGATTCCAGTATGGCCCAAATATGGCCCATAATCCACATGCATACCTTTCTTATTTCTTATTTTCTTTCTTTCGTACGACATCCGGTGGCGGATCGAACTCATAACCTACTACCTACTGATCAAAGATATATGTCAATTAATGCTGAACTACTTTTTATTTCTTATTTTCTATTTAGCAATTCATTTTGAGGTAATTAGGATGCGATAAAACTTAATAATGAATTTTTAGAAAACAACTATTTGAGTCCTTTTAATTTTCTTTTTTTTTTCCTTAAGACAACCGTTTCTGAACTTATTTGACCATTTTATATCTATCCCATTCTTTTTAGTTCATGAGTGTGGATGCAAATTTTTTACGTTTTGGAGAGTATAAATCTAAAATAGTTGAAACTATGTCGAGTTTTATTTATTTATTTTTTATTTTTAAATATTGTTAATTTTAATAATATTTTATAAGCCATATATGTTTTATTGTTAATGAAAGAAGAAACCGAGTAAAAAATGTATTTCCTAACGTCCCTTACGGTAGATTCATAAATAAGATAAATGGATAAATATTGATAATATATTGCAGAAGATTAGCTAACCTAAGACAACATGTAAAAATTTATATTTAACTTTTTCAACAAAATTTAAATTTACAACTTTAATTTTACATCTCTTATTCATGTCATCCTTTTTTTTTATTGATATATATTTTGGGTTATCTTATGAAACTTTTTGTCAGTTTTATTTTGTATATAACCAGCCTAAGTCAATTTATATATGGGTAGAAAATGGTATCATCTAAAATTACGAAACTTTACATGATCACCTCATTTCCTACCTTAAGCAGGCACTACATAAGTACACATTGAAATTCACACGTTAGCAACGCAGCAACTACACGAAGAGTGTGAAAGAGGGTACCTCCTTGGTGAAAAATCGTAATACGGGTATGGATCTTGAATCGGAGGATGAATTATCTTTTGGAAAAGGAATTACAAACTATGCCGAGAGATTAACCAGGTTAGTGGGACAGATTTTGGCCATCTAAGGCGGGTGCACGGGAGGGCGAAGGCGAAACAAAAATCAAATGGACTTCTTTGCGTCTAAAATTGTTCGTTCACCCGAAAGTCTTCTCTCCATATTATTCATTTGTTTAAAAAATGGGCCAAAATAATTAGTTAGCCTTAAACTAAATATTTAAAAAGTTCAAAACTGGAATAAATTGAAAAGCTTAGAGATTAAAATAAATATTTGGAAAGTTAAAAAATAAAAACAATTCTTATTTAAAAATTTTAAACAAACACATAATCACAATTAAAAAAAGAAAGAAAGTCCAATTAAACAGAAAGAAGAGCCAAATTAGTTGGTAAAGGAAACTCAAAATCTTCAACACCAATGAAAAAGTCAAAGGAAAACCAATAATTGCGCACCGCCACAGCCAAGAACCGACCATTTTCAGACATGTTGGATCCAACAAAACGTAGAATATTTGTTGAAAGCCAACGAGAAAAAAGAGAGAAAAAAAAGAAAAAAAAAACAGAAAAAAGAATTTCCCTTTTGCAAATCAAGAAGAGGGAAAGGAGAGATTGAGCCAAAACCAGTCTCTCTTTTCTTCAACTCTTTTCTATCCCTTTTTTTATTGTACTAAACTTGTCTTTCCCCCCATCCAAAACAAACTCATATTTGCAATAATTCTTTTGTTCTGTTTTTACAGTCATTTGATTGATGTTCCTCTGCATCCTACCCAATCCCATATAAATTGTTCTGTTTTGTTTTTCATTTTGGTTACCTGTGGTGTGTTCCCTTGTGAATTGTCCTCTCCTCATGGACGCCGCCGACATTAGCCGCATTCGAGCGCTGTCGTCCCCGGAATTAGCACATGCCTCAACCAGCCATCGACAACACCCTGCGGATCACATTTTTGTGGGTATGTTTATATTGATATTGGTTTTGAACAAGAGTTTGGAAATGTAATTGTAAATTTGTAAATGTTGTTGTGTTAGGAGTGGCTACAAATGTGAAGCTGTTACTGAAGCTAGTGCATGAGCACAAAGATGGTTCTGTGAAAGGCAACAATGGGAATGGAAATGGGAGTAGAGATCAAAGGATTAGTGAGATGATGCAGATAATTGATGAAGTGAAATCCCAACTCCAGAAATGTCAGTGTGTTGGTAAGAGGAGGGAAGCAGAGCTGAGGAGGTGTAACACGGATCTTAGGCGAAACGTGCCGAGGGAGAAAAAGCCTAACGAACCGATAACAGACGAGAAAGAGAGGCTGAGGAGAGAGCTGAATGCAAGCAGAGCTGCGCGGAAGAGCCTCGAAAGCATATGCTCGAGCATCGGAAAAGAGAAGGAGATCATCGCCAAGGAGTTGGCTAAGACGGTACAACGATTGCACGGAATGGAAGAACATGTCAATGATCTCAAAGCACAAAATGAGATGCTAATGACCAAAGTTCAAGCTTGTGTTGCGGAGCACAGAGTGAAGAAGAGCAACAATGTATCTGTGCCTGATGCTCAGGGCAACATTGAAGCCCTCCAGAAGAGAAACAAGGTCCTCACCGAGCAGCTTCTCAAGTCCCTCGACGCGTACCGCTCCTTGAAGCGCAAGCTCAAGGATTCCCAAGACAAAAGGCAAGGGGCCAATGCCAAAATGGAAGAAATGGGAGTCCGGGTTCGGGCAGGACTCAACAGGATTCACAGTTTCAAAGAAATGATCAACCAGAACGACGAGGTCGATATCGAGCAGGAGATCGCTGCATTGGAGCACATGTTCAAATGCTTCGACTTCGAGATATCCAAGCAAGTCAGGATCAAGAAGCAACCAGACAACAAGTCACAACTTCCTGCTTGACATCACATTCTTTACCTTTACCCTTTTTGTTTGGAAGAGGCTTGAGGAATTAGAAGTAATTGATTAGTATTATGACACATTTTTGTGTTGTCATGAGCAAATGTACTAGCTCAGTTGCTCTAGTTTTAAAATTTAATCTACCGCTGCTTCAAACCTTATAACATCAATGTTCAT